ATAAAATTAACGACGCAGCCGTTTAAAAGTTTCACGCTATGTATGAGGGGGATGATATCAATTTTCATAGCAATTACTTATTTAATGCAGAAGCGTGACTCATTTCTCTACACACTTTTATACAGAGATGTGCAGAAAATAGAAATTAAAAAATTAACAAAATGAATGGAGAAACTTAGATTTAATTAATTCTTTGTAGCGTTTTGTAATTAAAAAAAAAACATCTAAATAAAAAAAGGATATTATTCATAATTTTTTTTTTTAATAAAATTATCTCGATTGTCGGCTACATTATAAGCATGCTTGCCGTGATACATGCCAAAGACAACGCTAATAATTCGTATTTGGCCACGGACCAAACCTCGAGTAGACCGTAGCATGTGTGCCGTTGTTTGCAGAAGTGATGACGACGACGAGGCGAATTAGGGAGAGAGAGCGCGCGCCCGCGCGTACAGCGTTAATGTTAAACAAATATACCGCGCCAAAATAAAGTGCAACAAGGCATATCGACAGATGTCCGGCACCTTCTGGATAAATATTTAATCACCTCTTTATACGGGAGCTCTGTGTGGGAATTTTACCCTCCGCCCTTTTCCGATCATGCGTTTCAATACTCGTCGCGCGTGCGAGAGATGCGTCTGTACTTTACCTTATATTATTATTATATCATTTTTTTATTTTTTATTTTTTTTTAAATGAAAGAATTTCCAGAATTGCAAGATTTTTTCTAAATACAATTATATATACGTTTGGTTCTTTCATATATCAATTATCTTTGTCATTTTAAATGTAAAAATATTCAGTTTAAAAAAATATATAATTTTTGTCTTAAAAAAACAAAAACAAGTTTAAAATCTTGGAAGCACCTCTAGTCCTAGAGAAAAATCATGCTTAAGAGGATATGTCCTCTTTGAAAAAGCAAAAAACTTTTATATATAATACATTTTTTTCTATAAAACTCATGTTTCAGGATTCATTGAAAATAATTTTGCGATTCATATAACACACAGTGACTGCGTGTGTGTGTGTGTGTGGGTAAATACAATAATATATGCATTGATACACTTTCCTACATTCATAGATATTAATTCGCATGGGAAAACACGAAGTAGCAATAGAGCAATAGCTATTCTTGTGCTCGATATTATTTGGTTCTGACTAAATCCTGTGTTGATGCCGATCAAAGTAAATGTCGAAGATTCTACAGATCTACAGAAGCACCGCACGATCGTGCTATTCCGACGCTCTTCGCCGACAGAATTCGAACATGTATGCAAAGTCTTTTATAATCCCTTCTTTACGCTAGTCTGTATTTTATACAAATAGACTGTAACAGAATTTTCAAATTTAATTACAAGGACATTGAATAAAAAGTTTCAGCGAAAAAAATATACATAATCGAATTTTTGTTAAAAAAAAATTGATTGCGAATTGGTTAAATTTCACGGATAATAAAATATGCAGAAATGCTTTTATTTATGTATAAAGTCATCAAATGAATTTTATATGTGAAATAATGATATATACAACGCACAGTTAGAGAAACAATAATATTATTTTTTAACGATTTATAAAACAGTTGTATCAAAATAAAGTAATTTTATTTATAATTACAAAAATATATTGATTCTGTATAAAATTAAGTTTTACGTATTTATAATTAATTTGTAATGGAGTCATTTCGACGATCGTACCAATAAAAGCAAATGTCTCCGTGCTACACAGAGCAAATCGTAATTAAGACTGAGATGGCAGGGTGATGCGCTTTCACCCTAAACTTATTTCCTTAATTGAAAGTCTGGACTGCTGCAGTTTCCGCATACAGTAAAACGAGTACAAGAAAATCGATTATAATAATTAAATCTGATTAGTTTTGCACATAATCAGCACATTTATAAAATATATTAATTGGATTTTTAAAATGTAATATTAAATATCTAATTGCAAAACTCTCAATTTACTTTTATATATAAATTAGTAACGCAGTATTTTAAAATTAAAAGAAGAATTTTAAATTAGCCGTAAAATATCCGTCTTTAACAGACTGATTAAATCTGTTTTTCTCGAAAGATGTTTCTTTCGCCGAGACTTCACTCTCTTTTTCTCTCAATCAAAATAATAATTATTACATATCGTTACGAATATATAAAATAATTGCAATTCTAATATTGCTAATACGTATAATATACTAAATTAAAGTTTATATTATCAAGTTTTTTCAAAAAACAGTTTCTATTTTTGAACAATTATTTTATAAATATGTATATTTTTTTTTATATTTATATTTTTCGAAAAAATCTAAAAATTTCCTTTAAAATATCCTCGTTATTATTTTACTTATTATTTTCAGCGCTTTAATACCTCAAGATGATCGTATAACAATAAGCATATAATCTGAAAATACCGTAATATGAAAAGTACCGTAGGAAAAGCTGCGTTTAAGCATGCAATTTGCTTTCTCGAACATGGCGATCGGACCACAATAATCTTGGGACAAGGCGGAGATTGCTGAACACGCGCGAAATGACGTGGCCGCAAAACGTGACGGAATTATTCTTGGCGGCGCGCATCCTGATCGTTTCGCTCCTCTCTTCTTTTCCGGGCGGTCGTCCTCGTTGCGTCGTTCCGCCGCGGATGATACCCAGCAGGACAGTTTTTAATCACTGTAAGTGGATCTACATAGAGCTCGCAATTACCGGCGCACACTCTGGCATGGGCCCCTTGTGTATCAGCCCAGCCCCGACACCAGCCGCCAGATCCCGGGCGAATGTTTTCCCCATTTCATCCCTCCGTGCTACCGACTGCAGCAACCCCTCGGCTCCCGGAATCGTCTCCAGTTCCCAGCCCTGCATCCCCCCGTTTGTTCATCCTTTCTATCTCGTTCTCTCCCTCTGCTCCCATCCCTTAGACGTCGCATCCCTCTTCCTTTTACAATCGCTTCTCGTTCTCAGTATTCATGTTTCTTTTGTACCTCTCTCTGTCTTTCTTCCTCACCATCTTGTACTTTTAGTCTATCTATTTTTATCCTTTTCTCTCCTTCTCTTGAAGTCGTCTTCTTTCCCATTTCGTTTTTCCCCGCATCCTTTGGATTTTTACGTTTCTTTTTGTCTCCCTTAAGATCCTCTCATGCTTGCCTTCTCTTTTCACCGTTCGATTTCTCCCCTTTTCTCCAATTTCTCCTTCCTCAATTTCTGGCTTCTCGCTCTCGGCTTCTCGTCCCTTCGAGGATCGAGCTCGCGGTCGTGCTTGTCTCTGTCTTTCATTCCCGCAAGAGACAAGGGGACGTCTTGTTTCACTTGACAGCGATGTATCCCACCGAGGGATAGAAGAAAATTCACGTTGATTTTTCGACTGCGTCGTTCGTATTCCCGAGGTCTCAAAATTGTCCTGTCCACTTTCAACTTGTACGTGAATTTCTCGAATACTCATTTCAAATAAACAATATTTAAGTCAAAGCTCAAGTACCGATTAATAAAACAATCAGAAAACATAGGAATTATTTGCGCTAATTCTGGTCTCCTCGCAATCCTATTACTTTTTACGATAAAAAAAAATAATATAATATAATAGTATATCATAAAAAAATAATATAATATAATATACACAATAAATAGTATATACAATATAATAATATTATGTCATTTCTTTTTATTCGTATATATATTGCTTTAAAGTTTATCTTTGTTATATATATACAAACTGGTTTTTGGAATTAAATCTCGTAAGGACTAAAAATAAAAGAAATCATATATACTACGTTTTAATAATGATTTTAGAAAATGTTATCGTTTTTTTTTTTTATTTTTATATGAGTGAATTTAATCGCTGCGTATGCGACAGGAAAAGCAACACGCCGCGAGTTGACTTGCCTCTGCAATGATAGTTTTTGAATATATGTATATATTGTTACAAGCAAAAATCCACAATAAAATAATTGAATAGTAAATAATCGATAAATAATAAATATCATTAAATAAAGTATTTATTGATTAACACTAATATTATCATATATTATTCGACTAAATTATCCGCATCTATAGCAAAATTCTATACCAAATTAATAATATTTATCAATACGTTTAATATTGTATTTTTCGAATATCCAAATATGCTAACTACATATATATATAATAAATATTATTTTCGATAATCAATTATTATTCGTAAGACACTATCTGCAAAAACGCAATTCTCTGGTATACGAATATATTTATCTTGTGTGCAAATATCTATAAAAGCAGTAGAAAAAGAATTTTTCATAATACGACAAATATGTTATCTACGCAATACAAAAAGACCGTAGCTGATCTTTACGAAAACTCGTATTTTTCGCTCATCTCGTATCGATCTGTGTACGCGAGTGAATATTAATCTCGTTAGCGGCGAAAAACGCGACTTCGATCGCCTGTCCCACATTGGAATGCTATTGTTGCCCCTCGCTCTCCCTTCGCAATATTATACTCCGCACATTGACATCCCAATCTAGAAAAAGAAAGGGAGGGGGAGAGAAACAGAGATAGAGAGAAAGAGATAGAGAGGGAGAGAACAGGTTTGTACCGTATTATGCACAGCTCCGCTGCTCTACTACGTTAATGGAATTGTAATTCATACTGAGTGACATGTGACTCAGAGCAGCGAAACGTGCCGCCACGCGACGGCCGAAGCGTTGTAGTCAATGGGACGTGGGATGTAACGATGTAAGTATGAAGTATCATTCACACATAAGGCTCGTCGCAGTTGCAATGTAGTGAAACAAATACAAAATTCTTAGCTAATCGTAATCTAATTCCCATAAATCTAATTTTCTATTTTAGATAAAGATTCATAAATTTTGTGGCAAAAGCCAAATATATCTATTTCACATCTGCAAAAGTTATAATCACCGTCAACGGTGTCATCAATATACATATGCATTTACAAATTGTTATTATTTTATTCTGTAACTACTACGATTATGAGTACTCGTAAGGCAAATGTATGAATATTCGTAAAAATTGAATATTGCAAGAGACAAAGAAGAAGCTGCAGACGAAAGCTAATTTCCATCAATTGATTTACATTATATTAAAAGTGTCAACAAGTTCAAAATGTATTATTGAAGAAATTTTGAGAAATATTTTATATTACCAAAATAATTTCTAAAAAATTAAATAATAATTTTCTTTTTTTTTGAATTATGTAAAATGTTTTCAAAACTAAAATACTTTATTACGTTATTTTTTGTATCTATTGCATTTAGTCTTAAAAGATATATGGCATTTTTGATACATTACGATTATATTTGGTACATTACATTACGATTACAACGAGACAAGACTGCGTGCCTATTGTCACATGAACAGGTCTTAAATCAATGGAAACGAGTAATCAGAAACTCGTCGTCCCTTTACGCGCGGTTTATGTTGTGTGGCATCGGTCCAATCGAAAAGAGATGTGGGTCAACGTTGATTAATTTCGTGCCACGCTCATTGCGGCGCAAAAGATGAAAACGTGATGCAGGATCTTTAAGTATATAATTCAATCACTGAATGACTCATGACTGTCTTCTCGAAGACAGATGAACCGAGGAGACAAAGATCACCAGTCTTGAGAAAATTTGCATAATTAGATCAAAAGCGTAGAGATTCGAGATCATTCAGTCAAGGTGAATATTTTTAATAAACAATCGCCATCACGAGCAATTATTGATAAACGCCCAATTGGGCAATCGCTATCAAGCGACAAATGGTGCTTTAATTAAATGCTTGGAACAAAGAGTTGATATCATTTTGTAATTTAAAAAGTAAAAGAAATATTATGGGATATAACATTCATTTTTTTTTTTATAATCTCTATTAAATAATATAATTATTATGATATCGAATAATATATTTTTAAATGTATAAAAATAATGTTTCATGTCTCTCTCTCTCCTTTTTTCAAGTTATTGAAAATGTAATAAATATCGGAAACAATTTATTAGAAACAATTCTCAGAATCTTCATTCTTATCTATAGATGAATGAATTTATAAATGTATATTCTCTGCTGCATATATTTAATATGATTATAAAAGAGATGAGAACAGGAAACTGCGAGATACATTCCAAAAAGTGAGTGTGACATAATCGTGTCTTTCGCACAGTAACCAGAGAAAAATTGAATCTACAAAATATACACCATATACCAATTGTCTCATGGACACGAGTTTTACAGGGGAATGGTTTCGAATATCGTGATCGTTTCTATCGATCAAACTCGCTTCAATATTCCTCTGGAACGAGCGAAACTATTATCAACAATTGTCAAAACGAATAACATGTTTTTTAAATGCATTTTCGTCCAAAAACTGATATTGACAATGCGAGTAATAATCTCGACGAAAGATATCACTTTAGAGTTGCATACGTATGTAGAGCTGATTTATCAATATTGCATAATGAAGGACATTAATATCATCAATAATATATTGACGCCAATCTGGGTGAGATCGAATATGGGTAAAGTTGTTTCTAATAATAATATCCTAAGTAGTTCTTATTATTTATATATGTATATATATTCTTACGTGTTCCTTATTTAAAATATATATATGATATAATTTCGATTATTTTTATGACAAAATATATATTTTAAATTGTATATTTTTACAACAAATAAAGATTAAGCATATTTACACAAATAATTTATTTTGGAAAAAATATCAATCAAATCTCAGAAAGCAATAAAATTATGTCTTTCGAGTTATCAAATTATATAAATAACAAAAATATAAAGAAAAAAGTACAAATATTAGAGATTTAAGTCCCTCTTTTTTGAAACGTGATAAAAAATATTATAAAATACATAAATTATTCCTTGTGTTTTTTCTTTCTAGTATTATTTCGTAGACTATGTAAAAGTTTTTATACATATTTTTCAGGCATTTGTACATATCATATGGTGTTACAGCGATTTATACCAATTTCCGTAAGAATATCTCAGAATTTGCCTTTATCGCACTATGATATCGCTTTTACGATCACTGCTCAATTCTTGCCAATATTTTGTTCTGTTCGTCGAGAGTGCCATTCTTACGGAAACATTCTCTTCGCCGTTTTGGGTACCGCGAACGAGCAGTCGATCTCGCGCGCGACTATCAAATTATAGCCGGTGCATATGCGGTGCATAATGCAGCGGATAATGTTACAAATTCAATCATCTTTCGGATATTTTTATCGACGTCAGCCGCGCCAACGACGAGCGACGGGATATTTCTACGCGGTGTTACACGCGCACGTCGAGAGAATCTCGACTATCAATAGCACGCTGACTTAGTTATGCGCCCCTACCTAGAGCGCTTTGCCAAGTAGAATTCCGATATCCGTTAGAGCCTGCTTCTGTTGTTGCAAGGTAATCCGATCCAACACGTTTTACCTCTTCTTAAGGTGTGTCGACCTACCGTGTTTCACGCCATAATCACGCCCGATCGAATCCATCTTGCGTTTTTCCACAAATTTAATATCTCAATTTGATAGAATTTGCTCGAAGTAAACCGACACGAGATCGATGATGGTTAACGGAGGTGAGAAAATAATAATAAGTATTGCTCAAGTTTAGTGGATGCACCAAGAATATCGTATCAAGATGATACTTTGTAGTATATTCTTGATCATTGGATTTTTCTTTAAATCGAATAAGATGTATTGGATAAAAAATAAGTTCAATAATCATAATACATTAACATATCTATGGAATGTGATAACATGTTTTCCGTGTTTTATACATAATTAATATAAATACAAGATTAAATAAGAATAGGTAAAAAAAAATGGGGAGTTTAATTATAAAAGAGATGAGAACAGGAAACTGCGAGATACATTCCAAAA